TGGATCGCCGGGCCCAAAGAGTGGTGGTGAATTGAGTTAAATCCAGTTGGTGATTGGTCACAAGTGGTGTTCCCCAGGGCTTGGTACTGGGGTCAGTTCTGTTTAGTATCTTTATCAATGATCTGCACGAGGGGATTGAATCATTTAAATGATGTGACTGGATAAACCTGACACTAAGAATACATCTCGCAGTAACCTTTGTCAGAAGCTGAGTTAGTTTTTCAACACACTCAGCTTTCAGGTGCTTATGTCATTACTTCTAGCAATTCAGCTCTTTAAGACTTCGGCAACTATATATTAATATATTTATTAAATTTAGAAATAAGTATTAATTTGACAATCTAAAATAAGTGAGATACACACTAAGCAAATCTGAAAACCTACTGGTAATTTTCAGTTTTGAAAACAGCATCTTTTAGAATAGACTAGACTGTTTCAGTTGGAAGGGACCTACAACGATCACCTAGTCCAACTGCCTGACCAATTCAGGGCTGACCAAAAGTTAAAGCATGGTATTAAGGGCATCGTCCAAATGCCTCTTAAACACTGGCAAGCATGGGGCATCAACCACCTCTCCAGGAAGCCTACTGCAGTTGCTTAAGCTTTACATTGAAGAGCAGGTGACTACAATTAAGTAGTTTCATTTATACAAGGAATTTCTAATAGAAAAACTGGGAAAGAATAACTTGTTCACATCAAAGAATTACTTACCTCTAACACACTCTATCACCTTGGGTCTTTGAAGTTTAGATTTGGGAGAGGGAGAGTTGAATCTCAGATATGGTGCTTTTTTAAGCGTGCTACGATGGCCCTGGTAAATTGGTTTCCCATAAATTTGACACAGATAGTCTTCATTTTGTACCACTGCACTTCCATTCACAGGTCCCTGACACACACCAAAAAAAAAAAATAAATAATTCTTCATGTATGAAAATTTGAACACATCAGTAGTGTTGCAAAAGTCTACAGGAAAAAAAGTAAGAAGTTCTGCCACAAACGGTATAAATTTCAAGCACACATGAAAACTTACACATACAGACTACATACAAGTGACACGACAGTGAATTCTACACACCTAGCTTAGGTTTCTACAGAACATGAAAACAAGGACAATTCTGACAACAGAAATCCACAGGATGAGGCTATCACTTTCATTTAAAATTATTACAGTTACACATACAAACAATTTTCCTGCAATCTAAAGCATAGCAGTCACTACCAAAAAAGAAACCAACTACTTGGGAACTCACAGCTGCCTTTTTTTCTGTCCTCTGCAAACTTTCAGCAGAAAAGTAAGTTCTAAATTTCTGTCTGCTTGTGTTATCTTCTGCTTGCTTCTGCAATGGCTTAGCTGCAGATAAAGGCTTCTTTGTTAAGCATCCTTGGATTTGTTGAGGTTTTGCTTTAACTTCTTTATTGGACTTCATAGCCTTGATGTTTTGGGCTCTCTTGATCCATGGCACCTTTTGATCATATTTCACTTGTTCCAAATCACTTCTTGCCATTTCAGCCTAAAGATAAAACATAAACATAATAAAAAGAGATTTTTGTATTCAAGGCTATCAGAAGAGTAGGTGGATAATTTTGAAGTTCTGAGAAATGGCTTGTTTTTCATGTTAGCCAGCAACTATAACCAGTGATTTTCATGAAGCAATTGAATTTTTAAAACAGAGGTAAATATTTTATTATAGCATACTACATGCTAGTAATAATAAGCAGTTTTCTCATGTTTTCAAGTTGTGAGTAAATCATGTTTAACTATTGATATGAAAGAACGATGTAAGGTAGAAAAATATAATGCAAAAACCTGAACTCATTTTTTCCAGACGTACCTGGATTTCTGCACTGATTGCATTAATCCACTCATCCACAGTCTTTCTGATACGAATCTCTTCCAACATATCACTGAAATAGAAGAAAGAACTATTTTAGGTCAGTGCTTCTTAAATTGCACAGATTTGTTCCTGGGAAAGTAGTGACCTATAAACACTATAAAAAGAGAAATCCAGAACACAGACGGTAAGATTATGTACCTCTACAGTCTCCAAAAGCCACTAAGCTTAGCCTATCCGAGTTTCCCAAATGTAAATCTATTCTTACATAATGCCCCCTGCAAATCCTACCCCCAGCTGGCATGTACTAACATTATTACAAATATCTACGAATAAGTGGCAGCCATATGCCTTTTCCTATTTTGATCAAAAACTGAAAAAACAAGGTAACAAAAATATTCCAACTCAAAAGACAAAAAGCAGATGACAAGAATTGCTACTTCCGCTAAAAGATAATGATAGCAGATATCATGCCTGAAAAAAATCTTTACATGAACAGAAGTTACCTTTCTCAGGAAAATGTAAGATTAAGTTGTATTTTAATAGGAAAACTTTCATTATGATTCAAGGAGTATTTAACACAACTAACAAAGTAAAAGTTCAAAAGCCAAAGATCTGCTGTAGGATGACTAATTCTGTAACATTTATAGGCTTATGAAGCCTCTTCTCTTCTGCATGATGAAATCACTCTTTAATTTTCCTATTAATGTAAGTTTGTCTATAAAAAGCTAAATGCCGCCTTGTCATGACAACAGAGCAGTTTGTCCAGATACAATGTCAGAATTCAGATTTACCAAGAACTAACAGGTACCTGTCAAAAAATTCAATTCACATCAGGAGAGTCAAAAAACATTTGAAGTTCAAGAGAATCACCTCATGATTGCTAAGAAGAGTCAATAAATACTTTTTGCAGAGAAGTGCACTAGTTCTTCAATGCACAGAATGAAAAAAAATTGACAGAGGCGTGATAAAAGGTGAGTACGTACGATGAGTAGTCACACAAAAGCATTGAATTACAGAGTCTAACCTGTTTGTAGTCAAGGCGTTAATAAAAGCATACATGGCATCTCCATCTTTTGCATGAATAACAGCTTCCAAATTTTCTTCAAGAACTTTTTTATTGTTTTGCACTGCTCTCAAAATCCTTTTAGCATGCCTCAGTATAGATTTTGGCACTTTAACATTTTGAAGGATGGACGGTTTATCAAGCAGATGATGTTCAGGAAGATCAGATGCAACAGTAGGCTTTTTTGACTAAAATTGAAACAGAACAGCTAGTTTTTAATCAGAGATTGTAATTTCAATTTTCTACACACTGACCAGAATTCCTATTAATCTATTATCACACCAATGCCCATCATACGAAATACCATCCACATGTACTATCAACTTCAATTATTCAAGAACATTCAGTATGTTGCAAATATATTTAAAAGTTGAGCAAATGGAAAGACATCCAAAAGCTCTCAAATGCAAAATGATGTAATGTATGAGAAGCAATGCCAATGAAGCTAATAAGCATGTGAAAAGATGGCAATTAGATACATGAAGTCATGTAAGTCAGTTACCATTAAATCTCTCCATGCAACAGTAGTTAAGTATAATTAAAAGCCTAATAAAAACCAAAGTCCTTTAAATGAATGCACTCATTGGGCATCAATCTACCCCAAGAAACACTGCGCAATATATGTAAGTTTTAACAACAACAAAATAAACCCCTCAAGAGCACCATGATCCTCTCCCCCTTTTCACTGATTTTCACTTTTCGGAAGAAGCAATGAAGCCTTTTACTTTGTAGAACCCTTTTACAGAGATAAAAATCGAGCATATATTAGCTGCTAAATACAAAAGGAAGGGACACAAGTACACGGGAAACGAGGAGCCATAGGGCTAGAGTTCTCACATTAATTCCCACACTCCTGATGAAACCCAGACCCCAAGTAGAGTGCTTCATTTTCCAGAAAGGAAACAAAAATTTTTTTAAAAAATTATAAATGTACATAAAGAAAAAGAAACCCCAAAACAAAAACAAAATACGCAAACTTGAGTAGACTCTGAAAGCATCAACTGAATGAAGAGAAAAAAAATCTCACAGATCACAAATCAGTTTTGGTTTTAAGGTTACTCTTTTATAAAATCAGAATTAAACAAAAGTTTATGGTCTAACGGGTGTACTGCCAAAGTACAATGGACATAACAAAATAGAAATCAACACACTGATCCCATGATCTTGGTTTTGCCTGGTGAGAAAAGGACAATGTACCAAATTATTTACTGTTTTTACATAGGTTTTCATTTGAAATTAAGCTTTTTGAGAAATACTAGTTCGTTAAGATAGGTGAAATTCGTGAGAAAATGTAAGAAATACAGATACATGTTCAATCTTAAAATGATGTAGACTTGCCAGTTAGACTCAGATCATGAAATGGTAATTATATTAGCAGTCCACACTACACCCATTTGAGACAGCAGCCTGACATTTGTATTCTTCCTTCACAGTAGTTCACTAAGATTGAATAAGATAAGCCAAAGAACAAGTTAAATCTTACTTGGAGTTATGTAATCTGTAGATAATAGCAACCTTTTCAAAAAAATACAGATATGCAATAGTTCCTGTAGTGTTCTCTCTTTGCAAGCATATTCAAAACTGTTTCAGTATTACAGTATTTAAAAAAAACTCAAAACATAAAAATTTAAGGTATACCTTAATAAGGTCATTCATGTCTGATTTCCATGAATTTGCTTCCTAAAAAGACAGAAGAAAAGCTGATGAAACTTACCTAAAGACAGATCTGTCAAAGTAAAATCTAGAGTAGATAGTTGATCAATTTAAATGGGCACAATTAATTCCTTGTGAACTACTAAATCTCACTGCTCACTTCTTTTGGATTAGAGCACCACCTTCTGTTCCATCACAACCTCTCTCAGTTAATTCAGGCCTTTCATTTGCTTATATGACAAAGCTAGTGGTCATTTATCCCAAACATTTATTTTGTCAATCTACAAATCTCTCAATGAGAAGCCAATAGCTAAGTATTGAATTGACTCAACTCCACATATGCTGAAGTCATCACCTCTGTCTTCCTATTGACCTTTTTCGTAAGAAAGAACAAGAGATTTGAAACCACTTGTGGCAACTGTGTCTTTCTCACCTGCCATTCCTTCTCCCATCTCATCCTGTTCTGTTGCCTATACTAAGGAATGTTAATTAAGTTTTTAGCAATAGTGGTAAGCAAATATTTGCAACATAAATGGGGCATATGGCACCTGTTCTGATACCAGTAAGTACAGCAACAAGTAACTGGCAGATAATACAAAATATTTTGGGGGAAATAAGCAAGCCAAAACCTTCAATCACAGAAATGAGCTAATAGAATCAAAGCTATCACATTCCAAGCCGATTCATAAACCTGTGAATTTTCAAGCCTCTGTTCTTTCCCACCACGTACATTTACAAGAAAGGACCACAGCAGACAGGCTAAATGATCAGGTATACCTTGCTTCCACATGGAACCAGGTTAACAAACAGATAAACGCCCCTATTGTCAAAAGCCAGAGACAAGCGACACATGTTGCCAGCACAGAACCATTCTAGCATCAAAGGTACAAAATCATTAGCTTAAGAAACAATACAACGATGTATGCCAGGCAATTCTTTGGAAACAGCACTCTTTACAAAATGAAGTGGCAAAATAAGAAAGGAAGTAGCTTAAGTCATCCTTAAAGTTAACTGCAGATAAATACAGCATTGTTCTTTCCCAAATGGGAATGTTACATCAGCTCTGTAGCTCCAGTATCACAGGAAGACAGCAAGCAGAAAATAAGCACTGAAAATATCCGAAATCTTAAACAAACAAACAAATAAACGACTTTTTTTTCTTTCTTTTTTTTTAACCTGTTTTATGTTTGGTAGAAAACCTTAAAACAAACAAACAAATAAATGACTTCTTTCTTTCTTTCTTTTTTTTTTAACCTGTTTTATGTTTGGTAGAATGGCAGTAAGAGCCTCTACGGTCTAGTCCATTGCATACTGAGTGGGACATCACTCAGGCTCAAAGCCTTTCTGCATACAAAGACTGCAATATTTCAAGTAATTGTAAACAAATGTCAGCCTTTTTACAGAGCTAGAAGCAAGGGCAACGCTTCTACTGATACCAGACCTCTAAGTTTTTCTCCACATTTTTTATTCCCCTTATTCAGGCAACACTCCTACTGATACCAGACCTCTAAGCTTTTCTCCACATTTTTTATTCCCCTTATTCAAACTCTTGGTCATTCTGATAACATGGACTTTACCTGTAACATGTCACGCATTTCTCTTCTCAGTTGGCCAAGATCTTGAAGTAAATCATCTGCTTTTTTCACTGTTTTCTCAATTGAACTGCAATTTCGGAAGGAGCTTTCAAAAGCAGGGAATGAGTCTGTATGCAAAGCAGTATGCCTGATGGGAGAAACACTCTTTTAATCAAGGAGGGCCACTCTTCATGTGGCTCAAGAAAGTAACAACTGTGAAACTAAGCATGAATTTAAAGTGCAAGAATACCAAACCTTTATATAAAATGGAATTTGCTTTTTCACCTGAGGTTACAGACAGGTCATTGTGTTTTTTCTGTTCACCATTTAATACCTTGAGTTGTATCCTTGTTATTTTCAACAGTGAAACTACAATAAAATTCAGATCTAATAGAGCAACATTTAAACTTTGGATACTTTTCCATTTGAAGCAATTAACATTTTTGTCCCTACTATCATAAATAAGATAGCATATATGTAGTTGTTTCTCATGATATTAGTGAAATTATGACATCAAATGATTGCCTGGGGAAAATATGTTTCAGAGTGGATGGCTAAGAACATTCCCTCACCCACACTAAAGCTTAGAAATTGTTGGGTGGATGCTGCTCCTTCCCAACAAAATGTTGTCATACAGCTCCCATAAGCAGACAGCTGGGAGTCTCACCGACAATAGCAATTCCACTTTAACACAACGCCAGTAGAGCTGGCTTGCCGACACTGGTCTCCAAGCTGCTACAATAGAAGAAATACACTCAAAAGACAGAAAAGCACTCCAAGCGACAGCCACTGAGCTCTGAGAAAGGTGTTGCAAATTATGCTTAGCAACAAGCCTTCATCTACCTTCAGTACAAGATAAATGCAAAAGTAATAAAGCAATATCAGTGCTCCAGTGTTATACTTAAAGCACAGCTTTGCCAGACTCAAGGACCATGCCACTGACTATTACACCATCAATATCTAATATGCCTTTCTCAATTTCATTAAAACAGACAAAAAAATCTTGCTCAGTTTTGGATTGATATGTTTATTTACCTGTCTCTCTCTGAATGCCAGCTCATTTTATTGCTGTTTAATGTTGCCTTCTTGGAATATTCAGTTTGCTTCAGTGGCATTTCTTGAGAATTCAGAATATGCTCAAGAAGTCTCCCTTCACCTAAGGCAGAAAAAAGAAAGTTAAGTTTGTTCAATATACTTAATACCTTCTTTTCCTTTCCAGGTATTTCACCATCATATAATACTCACCAAGGATAGTAAAAATAATTTTTAAATTTTAAAATATAGATTTATTTCAGATAAGGCAAGTCACATAAAACTACTCACACTAATCTATCTTACTATGATTGCTTTACATTAGCAAAGTCAGAAAACAGATGAATGAAACTGTGACGGCAATTAACTGAGTCACAGAGAAACATTCCGTCCATAATGTCACAGATTTGTTCTTCTTCCTTAGTCTCATTTCATTTATTCCTGGACCCACAGAACAATAGGAATACGTGACAGCTTTGTAAAAGAGAGATATAAGTACTAGTCTGAGAGCCATCTGATAGACACAAACAGGCATTTTGCCCATGATGTTAGAGTACAATGGCTGGATCTTTTAAACGTTCTTTCTCAACCTTAGATCCTCACACAATTCTAAACACAACCAACCAAAAAAAGGTGCTTTATTATTTGACAAAATGTTCAAAACTGAGTTTCATGTCACTAAACTGATCAAAAGCAGTAAAAGAAAATTACTTCACATTTGCTTTACACATGCTGTTTTCATTACAATAGCCCAGAGACCCTGTGGATCCATGTTTTGGGGAAAAAAAAAAAATCTCAATTCAACCAATGATAATGACAAAGTTATTGAGTAGCTCCCAGGTTTTACGTTATTCTATATAATCTTCCATAAACCTGACAATGAATGGTCATTTACTTTTACATCTGAGAAAACATTTCAGTGAGCAATCATGTCAAGACACTAGGTTAGATCACTAACTAACTAAAGGCTTAACATTAAGCCTTTAGTTAGTTAAGAGTGACTTATTCACAAAACTGACCCTTCCTAACTGTACTTTCAAATATTCTTAATATATGTACTTAAGCGCCAGCAATCCAAGAGTTCAGAATAGGTGAAGACCACCCAAAGTAATCCCCAGGCCATATTATTCATGCCAGTGGAGGACAGGAGTGTCTTACTCACAATACCTTCACTTGTGGATTTGGGAATATTTTCCTTTTCTGTTAAGGAGTTTTCTTTCTTTGAGATTTTCACATTTTTTGATACAGGTTCTGGAGCACATCTCCGAGGAACTGGTGTCTTTAGAGGAGATTTTTGTGTATGAATCCCAAGACTTTGAAACTGGCTTGAATATGCTTCAGGGAAAAAAATGTAAAGTTATTTAAATATTAATAATTTTCTTCATAGGAAGATAGATTCAGAAAAAAAACCCACACCAACATTATGAATTTTTCACAAAAATGCAAAGTATTACAGAACTAGTTAAAAAAGTAAACAGGAAGAAAATTTCATACTTCTGAGTGCTATTATAAAGGCATCAAAAAAAACCCCAAACAACCCCAACCATACTATGAACTAGTTCATTACAAGTTTCCACACAGATTATTTCTCAGTAAGATTACTTTATGTTAAGTTAAGCCTCTCTTGGCGCAGGGTAAGCACTTAGTAAATACAAACCTCTAATTTAAACTGAAACATTTTCAGAGTATGTGGTATATGTTATATACTATATTAGGCAACAAAACCAATTACACAGAAGAAATGCTACTACTCATTGCTGATGTGAAATACAATCCAATATTAATGGAAACAAAATTAATGCAAAACTAATACTGAAAATAAGATACTAAGAATTTGTCTTCACCTTGGGCAGGTGCACCACTGGTAGGAAATAAACTCCTCTGACATGAAGATACTTCGTTAGTAGGCAATCGCTGTTCTGGCTTCTCAGATTGTTTTGTCATGAGATTGGAGGAAGGTATGTGAATTTGCTGTAAACCACCCATGTTGACTGCAGACCTAATGAGATGAGACTAAGAGACAAAATTACAAAGTATTTCTGATATATGCATTAGTTTCCCCAAGTAAAACTCTAAGCATGAATACTTGCCATCCAATCATATTAAACAGATTTTGACATGCTATTTGAGAGAAAAGTCATTCACAACCACCTTGGAATACACACATGCTTCGACATTATTCTACCTTTCAAAAAGCACGCAGGACTCTCCAAAGAAACTATTTATAACTGTACTTAGATTTTTAATCTGACTGGCTACTTATTAAATGAACATTTCTTCAATTAACAAAGGTCTAAATTGCTTAGTGGGAATGAGAACATTTCACAATCTTTGCATTTACTTTTCACAGACACAAAAATCAGGAGAGGTTGTGAGCAGATATCTGGGACAGAACCAGAAATAAGATTCTTCCCAAAAAGCTCTAAGCTCACGTGCTGGCCACTGGATCTTTCTTTCTTTCCAATACTAAGACATAATCCAAATTATTATAACATTAACACTGAGATACAGAAGAAATTACTAAGCTAAAGCTTCTGCATTGTTACTTAGATACCTGAATATTCATTTGTTGCTCCTGCAACTTTTCCAAATGCTGAATCCGTTGCACCATGAAAGCATTCATTTGTTTTTCAAGCTCACTGACTCTTTCGTGACAGTGGGGCTTCTCAAGTTGAGTCTTCATATTTGTTTGCTGTTCAGCAACATGCTGCAGTTGTCTGTCTGTCTCCTGTAGTTTATGAAGTAATGCTGAAACTGAGTTAACTTTTGCTTCCAAATCATTCTGAACCTGCAAGGGAGGGGGCGGGGGGGGCAGGAGGGGAGGTGGAGAGGAAGAGAGAAAAAACCTTACAGCAAAAAAGGTGCAAGAATGAAGAGAACAAAACATCCTTCTCATCATCATGGAATGATTTGCTTCCCAAAAGACACAAATAAAATCCTGGTTAGCCCTAACATCTGGTGTTAAGCAATACTATGAAATTCTTCTAAAAGATAAATCAAACTGTCTCTGGCCAAATCCAAATTAGTTCTCTCTGGTATATTGGTCAGTAAGTCTGAGATAACTAACACATAGAAAAGAGGAAGCAGACACATTCAGTCTCTCTGGCTCTACTACCAACAATTTCAGGCTTGCTTAGAACATCTACTATTTTAACTGCACAAAGAACTAATATTACCACAAGCTACTTACTTTAAGAAGAGGAGTTGTAGTAGCAATTGCAGCAGCAGTTGCTGCTGCGATGGTTGTGGCAGAATCAACTTCCCTGTGTGCTGACCTGGTGTCATGATCAACACTTTCCTTTTTTCCTCTGGAGGCATTTCCTAAGAGCTGTACCTTCACCTCCTTAAGTACAGGAGTACTTTGAGTTCTATAAAAACAAACAAGTGCCTGTAAATAGAATTGTTTTCTCCATATCCCCTCCAGGCAAATTATTTCCCATATGTAGCATTGATATCACTACTTATATAAGCATTTCCCCTTGAAGCTCTTGACACCTAAGAAACAATTTTATTCTCATCTTTTAGCATGACAAAAGAAATTTCTCAGGATTATGTTACAGATTCTAATATAAAAGGAATTTCCCTGTGATGACTGCAACCACAACAAAGAATATGTTTACAGGTTGTATTTTGCAAAGTTCAATGTACTAGTAGCAAAGTGTAACTAAATTTCTGATCTTCAAGATTTCCAGCCTATGGATAAAGAACATGTGTCCTTATCTGCCTTTAAAAATATTACATGGTTTTGGCACGAAATGAATTATCTATCAGAGCAGATCTTATCTGACTGTTGCATCATGAAATCATTAATTCAAATAGTCTAAAGGCATTACGAAAAATATGCAATATAAACAAGATACTCCAGTAAGCTCAGAATGATAAAATAAACTGTAAACACCTTCACAGACAGAAAAAGAATACTAACAGAGAACAATAAAGAATACTTTTTCCTTTTTGGCAGAAACTGAAGAAAACAAAACAGAACAGCTGAGACACGAACAACACCACATACTTACTTTTGCTTTAATACTGCTCTCAAAGCCTCTTTCTGGCCAGTAGCATATTGAGAAATAAAAACATCATCTGGGGGGAAGGACATAAAATACACTTTGTCAAGTTAACTGACACAAAATATTTATTTTAGAGGTAAACACAAAGCATTATTTCAACAACATGTACTATTTTGCTGTGAAGAATCTGTCGCAATAACAAATTGTTTCCCTTCGCTAAATAGCAGACTTAAATCATGACAAGAGAAAGAGTAGGCTTCATGTAACACAATTTTATATAGTACTGAATGCTGGTATCAATAAAATCTATTTTGGTATGCTGTGAAAATGACTATACCTTACCCTCATAAAATTTGGAGGAAAAGGCCATATAAATAGTAACTCAGACAATCCATTCAATAAAACCCTGCAAATTCTAACTTGGAAAATTTAGTAAAAAAAAAAATAGAACTGTGATATGAATATTTCCCTGCAGTCATCATAAATTATAACAAATTTTCTTAATAGCTTTAAATTATGCTAAAAGGATTGCAGGCTCTCCTTCATCTACCGTTTGCTGGGCAGAGGTAACAAACCAAGATACGGCAGGTTTGGTGTTTCTCCGCTGCTGCTTATACACAGCTAGTACACACATGCTGATAAGCCATTTAGCTGCTGCCTCTGTGAGCACAGAAGAGGAAACTAAAGTATTGATTTGGGGGCTTAAATGGGGGTATTGATTTGTGGGTTTTTTCCTCTACATGCCACAGATATCCAAGAAATCTGCAGAAGCGTATTTTCTTTAAAAAGTCTTTACTTCCACAAATCTGATTGAAATGGACTGGCAGATTCAGATCAGATTCAGATTCAGATTCAGACATCAACAATGAGATTTCTTAGATTCTTAAGGATTAAAAATATACTTTTTAAGGTGTAGGTTGCTTGCAGAAAAAGATGCATTTGTAGTGCAATTACTCATAACAGAAAAACGCATCCAAACAAGGTGTCCCTTCCCACAACTTGTCTATTCAGAGGCATGAATAGTTCAATTAGCAAAAGGAACCTCAACATTGTGGTGCACTGGTAGAAGTCCCTCTCAGTTGATCACAAAAGCTACGTAAGGTAGTGTAATGCCAGCAAGACTGAAGTAAAATTTACAAAATTTAACAATGTAAATTACAATTATCATCTTTTTATCAAAGAAACCTTTGAATACTGTCACTCAAAAGTTTCTATATTCAAGAAAAATACCTAAAATAAAAGTAAAGCTCCCTCTTCCTCTAATCAATCAGTTTTCTTACCAAAAAGGGGCTGTAGGAGTACATTGATGTGTCTTACCTTTAGGTCTTCTGCTGTCTTCCAGTAGCAGTGAAGGATCTTCTTGTACTGCAGCTTGTCTAGGATAATCCTGCAGAACAAGAGCAGAAAAGCATACCTCAAAGCCTCTGGTATCAGTGGCCAAAATTTCAGCAGCAGATGGAATTGCTGAATACACAAATATAAGCACCTCAACACACTAACACAAAGTATTGGAACGAAATACATTAAGATCTCCACCACAGAATCATTTGGACTTTGTAGTCAAGAACTCACCTGACATTTTAGGGACAAAAACCCTAGAAACACAATTCAAATTAAATTCATTTTCATTCAAATTCAAATTCATTTATGACCAAAGAAGTAGTAGTGAAACTACACGTGTTTAAGTTTATGCAAGTTGCTAATCTCAAATAATTCAGGATCACCCATACACACAGAATTAAGCACTCATAACACTGACTGTGGAACTGAAGAGACAGAGCTGAATTTTCTTGAAGTGAAATCCATGAATAATCAAAGTCTCTGAGGAGTCATAAAGGCAAGTTAGGAAGGTAATAATCTATTACTTAACCTTATTTGATGGTGGAGTACTCCACCATACTTTCAAGACTTTTGTTCAGCTCACTAGGTCTACTTTGAGCCATGCAGAGACATTGCTGTAATACTTTCACAGCATAGGTTAATTTTATCCTTATGCATGCTTATCACCATACGAATGTCCTAAAGACAAGTTTCCACTCTATGTAAGGCACAACAAACAAAACCAAAAGGAAATAAGACTTTTAATTGTAACTATTAAAGAGTTCCACAAATTAATGCCCATTTCATTATCTAGGATATAAAGAGAAAAAAAAAACTACAAAAAGTCTTAGTGTTTTTAACAAATATTGTGCCATGTGTAACCACCTTTTCAAAGGAAGAATTACACTAAAATTTAAAAACAAGCCTTGGTATTAATTATGCAACAGGTAGCAGTACAGTAAACAAAGCCCCTCCAAATACTTCACCATTAATATCACATTAGCAGCAACTCAAAGAGGAAAGCAGCTGCACAGTTATTGTGCAGAAGCCGAGCCAAAGATTTGCTATGCTATTACAGAAGCTACAAATTTTTGAGAAAAATGCTGTTGTCTTAGTTCAGGATTGCAGGAAGCAGCAGTAACTTTTCTTACCATTTGTGATAAAAACATGGGTTCTGTAGAATTTTCTACTGAAAGCAGATGTTCTGGATGTCCTTTAGTACTTGGGATTCCTAAAATAAAAGCAGGTTTACTGTGGTCATAATGATGTGTTTTGCATTTTCAGTATACCTAGACTAATCCAAATCTCAATGTTTCCTCTGCCTGTACCTTTGAGTATCTAAAAAAAAAAAAGACTTTCATAACACAAAAGGTCACAGCCATCAACCTGAAGCTTACAAACGTTAATGAATTCTGTGAGTCTGGATTATAGACTGGTTTTACAATATACGAAAAAGTCTCTGAAAAACAGAGCATTAAAAAAATCAACACTGTCTAGCTCAAATTCAAGTCTAAAGATCATAGGAACACAGAAAGTTACTTGGCTAGAGAGACAATTATGATTATATGATATCATATCTTACAGAAGAAGGACACTGAGGACAGTACATATTTGAGTTATATCAGGGACTAATAAGTCTTCCTAACACTATAAAAATAACATCTTTTGAAGCTGTTTGAACCTCGACCCCAAAAAGACTAAAACCCCCTCCCCAAGCTCCAAAGACTGTAACTGATATGTATTTTAAAGAAACAAAATGATTATTCTATCGGACTAGATAAGTAGCACAGATTGGATCAGTTTTGAAGAGTACATAGTATGTCACTACAGTCTCATTCTATTAATAAGAGGCTTAAAATTATTGACTTAATACTACTACAAATAGTTTTTTACAAAAGTTACAGAAAAGGACGATGAAATTTTTTTCTTGATTTTGTTTACTCATCTATGTGAGCTTCATTGGTACAAGCAGTTGATCAGTATATGTTGTTTGTGTCAAGCAGGTGAGGTTTAGGAGGGGTAGGGTTGGTTTGTCTGTTTGTTTTCTAAGACTACAAGGGAAGAAAAATAATTTTAACAAGTAAAATTTAAAGTTATGGTAGATAGCAGGGAAACTTGGTTTCTTCCTAAACGTTTTTGGAATAGTTTTTTAACTGACCAGCTCTGAAACTCATATTGTTCCATAAAACCTGCAAAAACTCTGCAAATTAAAAAAAGAGTAGAGCTGAATTACTTTCTCAGAATGTCTACCTTCTTTAAACACTTCTTTAAAAGTCAAGCTTCTACAGCTATGGTTTGAACAGCTACGATCACAAGCTCTTCAGAAAAAAAATCATCTTTAAAGAAGCAGAGAAAGAGGAGAAGTATTTAAAAGACTTTTGATCTCTCTTCCAGTATAAACCCACAAAATAATTCACAAAATTCCATGAAAACACAAAGAAAGCCCAAATATTGGGACTACTCAGAGCTGCCTGTTGGCTCAAGCAATAATTTGTTAGGCACAGATTTGCTTGCTGACTATACTTTCGGCATAAAATAGTAAAGATACATATGGTGTCTAAAACCATGAGCTACAAACTGCATTAAAACCTGTGACAGACTGGAAAGGCATCAATCTTCTTAGCTCTCTTTTTTAGGTCCCTGCACGTGTACACCATTTCATCCTCTGATGCTGCCTAAAAGCTTCCTGGCTAGTATATTTGTGAAATGTCACGATGAGAGTCATGACTTTTCTGATAAAGGTGAGAATTGCCTAATAATTAAGGACTAGGAATCTGGAGTCAAGACTGGAGTTCTGTTAACGGAGCTCTGACCACCACCTCACCCTGCACAACCAGCTTTTCATGTGCAACCCACAGTTTGGGAAAAAAACCAAACAAACACAACTTTTGAAAGAGAGCTGATATTTGCAGTACCAGAATACAAAAATTCCTTAACTATAAAACTATTACGTGGCTGAAAACACTACACAGCGATTTTACCTCAAACCTAAGCTGAACACTCACGGTAAATCACGCACCTGGTGCCACGCTGCGGGGGGTACTGTGGGTTACTCCCCTGCACGGAGCCCTGTTTGCTAAAAAGGCTGGAGGAATGCGGGGTGTTCCATCTTCAGCCAAAGTCGCATCAGCTGCCTGGCAGGGAGAAACCACTTCACGAAGCTTCTTCACAGCGATTGTCACTTTTTTCATACGGCCACCAGCTCCTGTCACAGCGTCAATGGGCTTCTCCCTGTGGACACCTGTGGAGTGAATGAGCACATCGCCCGCCGTGAGACTAGTCAAGGAGTCCTGGCTCAGGCTGGAGTTGCTTTCCGCTTCCATGAGGATCTCACGACGCAGCTCTGGACAGGAGCCCTGATAAAGAGGCTCTCCCCACGGGCCGGGTGCTAC